ACACACACACACACACACACACACAGAAAGAGAAAAAGAAATACAAGCACGTATGTATGCGCCTGCACAAATTCACGCACTCGCCTCATTGGGGCGGCTGAGCAAAGATGGTGTACACACACGCCGTCTTGTATATGTCTGAGAGCGCAACCGCTCAGGAACTCTTGTCACCGCCATCCGTCTCTGTGTTCTGCATGTATGTGCGGCGCTGGCAGAAGTGGGCAAGCGTACACGTGCAGTGCGGCGCCACCTCCGCAGACGCCGCCTCCTTCACTGCGGCAGAATCAGCAACTAAATGAGCAGAGCTCCAGCACATCGGGGACTGGCGCGCGTGTCCACTCGCCGGTGGGACCGTCGCCACAGCAGTGGCAGTGGCAGTAGCAGTGGTTGCAGCATTCGCACCTGAACCTTGTGCTGAAACAGAGGAACACCGCCGCCGCTGCTGCTGCTGCTGCTGAGAGTATGGGGACTCCGAAGCGGGTGCCTCATGCTCAGCCACGTCCAGTGGGCCCGGCGATGACGGCAGCGGTGACGCACTGCCCACCACACCCATTGCCCCCTCTGCCGCTTCCTCCCCTCCATAGCAACAGCAGCGTGATGCAGGTCGCCCTACCGCGCCCCTTCACACGTCGCACCACCCGCGCGTGTGCCGAACGGCGCGGCGATATCGTTCCCACTCTCACGGATGGTAACGATGTTGCTGCTTTCACTCTGCGCCCCATCTGCAGGCGTGTGAGCAAGAGCAACTTGGCACGACGCCGTTGCAGCTGACGCCGATGCGGCCGCGTGCGGCGGCAGCAGGCGGTCTCGCGGGTTCTCGACACACACCACCGGCACCCGCAGAGTGTGAATACGCCTCCTCGTGTGGTACTTGCTGTAGAAACACTGCGCCTCTAGTGTTGAGGGCAGCGTGTCCACCCCGCACCGCCTAGCATCCGTCGCTTCGCAGCACCACAAGGAGGCGGCGGAGACTCACGTGGTCAAAGCACATCTTTGCATGCGGCAGACCAAACATGAGAGTCGGAATGGCACTCAGGCACAGCAGCACGGCTTGCCGTTCCTCGTCGTCGCCTTGCTGCTGTTGCTGCTTCGATGGCAGACTGCCGTACGCCGCCCTTATCCACTCCATGTTGTGGCACACACAGAGACGGGGCGGCGCACTGAAGAAACTCATGCTCCCTGGAAAACTCACACTACCCATGCAGCTGCTACCGCCAGCCGAGCCAAGAGAGGGGGCGGGGCTTTCCGCACGCGTTGGCAAGCCCACCGCCGACACGTCAGTGAGCGTAAGCGACGCCGGCCCAGCAGCAGGAGTGGTGGTGTGTTGTGGCAGCGGCGTCGTCTCCTCTGATTGCAGCACAGTGTCCGGTAGGCGTCCGTCGTCGAGGAAGCAGGCCGGCGCGGCGTGTGGCGGCATCAACGACTCAGCCCCGATCGCATTGGTGGTGTCACATCGTCTCCCCGTCGACGATGCGGGTGCGCAGAAGCGGCGCAGCAGCCGCTGTGCCGCAGGGGTGGTGAGAAATACGCTAGCACCTCCCAGAGATGTGCTGGACAAGGCACCAAAGTACGCGTTCAGCTCACGCCGCCGCTGGAGCAGGAAGCTGATGCTTGTCGTCCTGCTGCCCCCTGCATGAGCCCGCGGCCCGGGAATCGCGGGAACGACGGCGCCGCCGCCACTGTTGCCAAATGTCGCCTCGCGCCGTCGCGGTGCATCCGCTTCAGTACGCGGTGCAGCGAGAGGAGGTCGCGATAGCGGCGATCAACAGCAANCAAATGTCGCCTCGCGCCGTCGCGGTGCATCCGCTTCAGTACGCGGTGCAGCGAGAGGAGGTCGCGATAGCGGCGATCAACAGCAAGTCGCCGCCCATCAGATAAGCGCAGCACGACGCAGTACTTCACCACGGTGCCCTCTGAGGTGTATAACACCGTGGCAAAGGGGACAATAGCCTCCGCAATGGCTGGCAGAGGCACAGCAGCAGCAGAAGCAACAGCATGCTGCGCTAGTGGGTGGGACAGCCGTGGGCTTGACGTGGCCGTCGTGGCGGCAGCAGGAGCAGCTGCGTCACCACCACCCCTCCGCACGACGGCGGCACGAGAGGCTGAACAGGAGCCAGCACCCTCCTCGTCAGCCCCCCCCCCCNCCCCCCCCTCTGCCGTTGCTGCCACACTTACTGGTGGTGTGAACGTTGCGGAGAAACGGCAGGCGTCGGCGTATGCGGGTGAGGAGCGACACCGCGCCCGGCATATTCATTGGCTGTGGCTTCTCATTCTCCTTTGCCCCCCTGCGTGATAACTGCGGTGCCGTGTCTGTCATGTCCACTCCTCGGTTTAGTTCCTCCTGCTCTTCTTCTTTTTTCCGGTTGAATGGAGCCTTCCAACGTCGTTATTGTTGCTTCTGCGTTTGTTGCTGCATGTCGCCGCCATTCTGTCGCCTGGATGTGCCGCGGCGCGTCCTCCACCGATGCGCTGAGTGTTGAGTCCCGCCCGTCCTCCACCTCTCTGACGGAGACGAAGCCGCACGTCACCTTCATTGCCCCCAACACCAACGCAACTGCAGCAGCAACAAACAGAGGGAGGAGCGTGCGTGTAGATGTGTATGTGTGGCAATGCCCCTCTATCCTCCCCTTTTGTGTGTGTGTGTGTGTATGTGTCTGGAGATTTTTGCAAGGAGAATAGTGTATTGCATAGGCACCTTATATATATATATATATATATGCGCAGGCATGTAGGTGTTTAACTACGTGAATATTCGCTTTAATTTGTCCCCACGGAGTTGGCATGGGTATCCCGGTCGATGGCCGAGTCACGCATGCACACACGCGCTTTATACACACACCAACGCAAAGCAATGGTGTGTCTGATAGAATAAAACACACAAGTAGATAGACGTCTCCCTCCCTCCCTCTGTGTGTGTGTGTGTGTGGAGGGAGCATCACACCCCAGAGCCCTGTCATCCCTCGCGTTGACACAGCTGCAGCACACACCCACCGGCAATTAGTGGCCACTCCTTCACTCACTCACTCGCACGGCCCGCCTCACCAATTCTGCGCAGCACCCAACCGCAGAGCACCGGGCCCAACAAGAGCGACAAAAGCACACTTCCACCGAACGCCTGCGCCATTGGCACCACTGCCTCTGCAGCGGCAAACGCAGTCGCGGCCACTGGTGCTTCTGCCGCTGCCGTTGTTGCTCGAGTCGACGACGGGGACGCCTCTCGGGGGCCAAACGTCGCCACCACCCGCTGCACCAACGCCAATGCAACGGCAAGTTGCGTGACAAAGCAAAAGCCAAGAAGCAGCCGCGCCTTGCTGTGCGAGACAGCGTGCGTGTCGCCAGTTGTAACAGCAGCAGCGCCACCACCAGCCACAGCCGCAGCAGCAACAGCTACGGCGGCATGAAGCACAGGGGACACAACGCCGCCGTCTGCGGCGACGGACACCGACGCCACAGTGGAATCATGCGATCCACGCTTGCTGCTGTAGCTGCTGCCAATGCTCTTGTATGTGCTCAGCTCACCAGCCGCAGAGAGGCCACAGTATGCGCCTGCCAGAAGCAGCAGCAAGCGACCAACAAAGAGCACAATGGCTGCCAATATCATCCACGCCAGTGAGGCAGTCGGCAGTGACGGGGGACCATTCATCTTACTGTTACTAGCCACCGCCGCCGTGAGTGTCACACGCAGTCCCATAAAGGCAAAGAGGACAACGTTGTACCAGGTGCTAAACTCAAGCGAGGCAGCCTCCAGCGGGGCAAAGGGATCCCGTGCGTGAATCGCCGATCCAGCCAAGACCGCGGCGAGGAGTAATTCGCTTGGCGTCAGCCAACTCCACAGTGCGAGTACCCCACAAGGCACGAGCAGCAGCAGAGCCGTCATTGAAGTGCGACCAAACCTGCTGCCGCTGCCCATAACAGTGGACGCAACACAGGGGCCAACAGCATTTGGGTTTGCGCCGCCGTCCTTGGTCGAATGTATTGCGTCATTCCTGGCTTCCATTGCTGCTGCATTGGCGTCGCGGAAGTACGGAGAGCGCGCCATGAGAAACACGACCGCCGTCGCCGAGGCAGCCGCCGCACACGTTGCGATGAGTGTGCCCGCAAGCTCCAGCAGGCCCTCACGAATGTTACCGCCAGACTTCAGCATCGCGCTGCAGAGCACAAAGAGCAGCAGCGCCGCCACGTCCTGCACGGCGGCGATGGACAGGACGAAGACAGTGTAGACGCCTGCCGACCGCGTGCTTCGAATCGTCGCGAGACATGCAACGGATGAACGCTCAACGGCGATGCTCGCGAAGAGTGCCGCGTAACCCCAGAGCGGCATATGAACTGCTGCTTCTGCTGCGCCGCGGCCGCCCAGGGCACCCTGACCCCCGTCCGCCATGTTCTTATGCATGATAATATAGCTGCCGCCGCCGCCGTTGGTGCTCGGCCACCACAGCAGGGCGTACAGCGCACGCCCCAGCAGCGTCATGCCGACAAAGACAGTTGGCACAAAGCACAGCAAAAACCGCAAGAGGGCGCCACGCAGCGGGGCAATGATGCGTGGCGTGAGGTGTGCGCCAATCTCCAGCCCGACGGCCGGCAGTGTCAGCGACAACATTGGGGCTGACACGGCCAGCACGGCGGTCAGCAGCGCGGGCGGC